AGCCTTCCTGATACCGTTCGGGGTTCAGACACACTCTCTCTGTTTAAATCTAGATTAAAGACACATCTCTTTGGCCAAGCATTCAAATAATGCATCTCATAATCTTTTACTGCAGTCATAATCTTTTACTGCAGTTATATCTAATCAAATGCACATTATTATTCGTTAGTTTGGGTTAAACAAATCATTTTTGCTTGGTTGGAACAGCAGCTACGCTAATTATGTTTGTATTTGTTTCTCTGTCTTTTGCCACGGGATTAACATCCCGTGGTAACTAGGATTTACACAAGCTTCAGTCTGGATCCAGAACACCTGAGAAGAGATGATGCAACTCCTCAGAGGACCTCAGATGATGCCAACCCTGAAACAACATCCAGAACTACCACATTTTGCTATAAGTTTGATTGCATCATATAATAATTGCTGTTAATATTGTTCATCGTCTGTTTTATTACGTCTTATATTGATTTTTCCGTTCTGCTGGTTCGTCTGGTCAGAGGAGAACTGGCCCCCCGCCTGAGCCTGGTTTCTCCCAAGGTTTTTTCTCCATTCTGTCACCGATGGAGTTTTGGTTCCTTGCCGCTGTCGCCTCTGGCTTGCTTAGTTGGGGACACTTCATTTCCAGCGTTATCGTTGACATGATTGCAAAGATATTATTTAAACTGAGCTGGACGTTGACATCACTGAATTCAATGATGAACTGTCTTTAACTGAAAAATGAGTGTTTACTATTGTCATTTTGCATTATTGACACACTATTTTCCTAATTAATGCTGTTCAGTTGCTTTGACACAATCTGTATTGTTAAAAGCGCTATATAAATAAAGGTGACTTGACTTGACTTGACTTGAACGTCACTATCAATCACTAGAATTTTATGTGGAAGATACACAGTTGCAAAAAAGAAAAAGTAATGTAACTAGTAGTGTAACTAATTACTGTTGCCAGAAAGTAATAAGTAAATTAACAATATTACTATTGAAATGAGTAGTAATGAGTAATATATTACATTCTTTGAGTAACTAGCCCAACACTGCTAAGCTCAGAAAATGTGAATAAAACAAAGAAGGTCTGTCGACAAGAATGTAAAGCATTTAAATGGGCTTAAGAAATGTCCTAGACCTAGCTTTACCAGCGTCAAACCACACATCACTGATTCATATTTCAGTGCTGAAATACCTCACGCAAAAGTGGTGCAACTGAATTGGCCTCGAGACTTCAAATGTAAATTCAAGGGATGCTATTTTTGTGCGTTCGGCCAAAAACACCGAGCAGATTTCTACATGGCTGGTCTGGCTGAATGCATGAAAGAGACAGAAAGCAGAGCAGAACTGATCCCGCCTAACTGCGCTGTTGTGTCTCCGCTTTGCTGAATGCCGGCTTACGTTTGGAGCTCAGCTAGAGTTCATGGCTAGTGCATGGCGATTATGCAGGGTTATAGTTCTCCTCTTGCTGCAGGAAAGAATGAAGCGCTTGCAAACTGCTGAACTTTGCCGCTCTTCAGAGGTTTGTTTCTCTTGTCGGCAGATGGCTCAGACTGAAGATGCCAGCGCGCTGTGCAGACACAGAGTTGCCAGAGGGCTGGTGTCGAGGTTAGAGTTCAGATGCCTTCAGGCTGGAACCGTGGTTTCACAAGGAAGGTGAGACTTGAGGTTTGAGGACATCTGATGTAAACAGAGATGACTATGTCTTCTGGGGGAATGATATGTGAATGTTGAATGACGCAGAATTTTTTAAACACAGAGCTAGTCAGTGTGTTGCCTGAAAGCAGTGTAGGTAAGATGTGAGGACACATTTTAGCTTAGAGACACAACCATTGCAAAGGGGTCCCAGGAGTCTTCTACCAAAAAGAATAAAAGAGTTTATTTAAAAATAAATAATACAAAAATAATCTAATAAAAACAGTAAAAATATAAAACAAAAAAGTATAATAATGTAGTGTATATAATAATAATAATAATAATAATAATAATATAAAAACACATAATAAAACTTAACAAATAATAACATTTTGACATTTTTATTTAAGTATTTATTATATAAATAGAAAATGTACATTAAGATTCAAAACTTGTCTCTTAGCCTCATAAACCCTTAAAAACTAAATTAATAAAAACTATATAGACATATATGAAAACTACAATTACTAAAAATTACTAAAATACATAAAATTACGAAAAAAATTTAATTAAATGAGTTAAAAATTTCAATTACAATAAAAATTATAAATATAAAATTGTAAAAAATTTAATAATAATAATAATAATAAAAAGCCTAATATATTTCTATGATACAAAAAATAACATTTATTCCTGTGATGGCAAAGCTGTATTTTGCAGTCTTCAGTGTCACATGATCCTTCAGAAATTATTGTAATATGCTAAACTGGAGCTCAAGAAACTTTCTTTATTAAATCAACATTTAAAACAGTTGTGCTACTTAATATTTTTGTGAACATATATTTCAGGACTCTAAATTGAAAGTTCTAAAGTACAGCATTTATTTGATTTAATAGAAATCTTTTATAACATGATGAACGTTTTTACTGTCACTTTTGATCAACTTAATGTGTAACTGCTTAGTAAAAGTTTTTTTTTTTTAAATAAATCAATCAATAAATAATTAAAAGAACATAATGACCTTGAATGGTCATGTACAATATATTTTCTATATTTATGCAAGTATAATACTTCTCAAGCAGATGATTGTCAGACAACTTATTAATCAATCTCTGGGAAATTAACACCAGGGCATCATCCTCAGCCTTCAGGCCTGCCACTTTAAACAAGTTCCAAGTTCCTCAGCATGTGCAGACAAGGCTTGGGAAGAACAGCTGGGCCCATCAACTCCCCATCGACAGAACTCCATCAACTCCACTCCTTTGTGCCTTAGCAAACGGCAAATTGCACCATAAATTTCCATCTAAGCTTTCGAGATGCACAATTCCCCATTCTGCCGGACATATTGTTGGCTTGTGGTACAAACAGATGAGCGCTGAAGGCCTAAACAGGAAGTTTATGGGTGTAAGAACAACAATGGCTGTAGCATAAGCACGCTAGCCAGAGGGAAATCAAATGCTGACAGGGTTTAAGTGCTGCCGGTGCACACAGGAACAACCTCGTTTGTAAGCGAGAAAGTGATGATCACGCACTCATTCTTAACTGTAAATTACACCTCATGCTCTTCCTCCAGCATGCAAATTATCCTAAAACACGTTAAGTCTAGTTCGACTGAGCCGATCTCGCCCGTGTGTTATAGACAGGTGAGAGTGAGAATGAATTGACCTCTTGTCTTCACTAAGCACAGCTCCATATGTTTCACTTGCCATGTAAATCAATTCATAATTTTCTTAGTAATCATTAACTCACCAGAGAGCCACCAGAGAACATCTGTCTCATTATGTATACAAACTACACCATTCCTATTCCTATACTTGAGCAACTTGTCTCCTCAGTCCCCAGACGTTTGCAGACTGTTATAAAAAGAGGGGATGCCACACAGTGGTAAACATGGCCTTGTCCCAACTTTTTTGAGATGTGTTGATGCCATGAAATTTAAAATCAACTTATGTTTCCCTTAAAATTATACATTTTCTCAGTTTAAACATTTGATATGTCATCTATGTTGTATTCTGAATAAAATATTGACATTTGAAACTTCCACATCATTGCATTCTTTTTTTTTTATTCACAATTTGTACAGTGTCCCAACTTTTTTGGAATCGGGTTTGTATTAACGCTTAAGATCCATATATGACAAAGACTGAAGACATAATGGAGCCCTGAAACATGCCTAGCATGAAAAACCCTACTGAAAAAGACATCTTTAACCAGCCTATGGTGGTATTATGGTCTTAGCTGGTTTATGATGATCTCCTATAGCTGGCTTAGCTAATTAGGCAGCTGGTCTTCCAGCCTGATGTGTTCCAAAGCTCCTCTCTAATCAACAGACTAGACCAGGCTAGGAGACCAGAAGACTAATGTAGACCAATTTAAGATGTTTTTTCTGCAGGTTGGTTTGAAAATCAATCAATCAATTAATCAATCAATCAAAGGTGGTTTTCTGGTTTTAGCTGGCTTACGCTGGTCTTCCAGCCTGATATGTTCCAAAGCTCCTCTCAAATCAACAGACTAGACCAGGCTAGAAGACCAGAAGACCAGCATAGGCCAATTTAAGGTATTTTTTTTAGCTGGTTAGTAAGAAAATCTTGGAAGAAAAAAAAATGTTAAATCAGTTTCTGGTTTTAGGTCTCCCAGCCTGACATGTTTCAAAGCTCCTCTCAAATCAACAAACCAGACTGGCTTAACCAAGCTAGGAGACCAGAAAACTAGTGTGGACCAATTTAAGATGTTTTCTGTAGGCTAGTATTAAAATACTGCAGGAAAAAAACAGCATATATCAGCCTAAGGTGGTTTTCTAGTCTTAGCAGGTTCACGCTGGTCTTCCAAACTGACCAAAGCCCATCTCAAATCAATAAACCAGACTAGCCTAACCAAGATACGAGACCAAAAAACTAGCGTAGACCCATTTAAGATGTTTTTTTGTAGGCTAACATGCAAATCTTGCAGGAAAAAAACAGCAAGGTGGTTTCTAGGTTTCTTCCAAACTGACATGTTTAAAAATGGTCCAAATTTTCTGGGGTTAGACGGTTCATGCAAAAACTTTACTAAACATCAACCAACTTTACCAGCAAATCAGCTAAGGCTGGTTCAAGCAATTTTAGTAGAATAACATGAAAAACTTGCTGGGAGAAAAATAATACTATAGTGGTTTGCTGGTCTCACAACTTTTACAAAGTGACGATTTCTATAAATGTAAATCATATGAACATGATAATATGATAACATAGAAACAACATAATTAGGTAAATTTTTTCTCTAACCACACCCCTAAAATTGACCCTCACTGGACCAATTACCTTATCATAGGAAAATGTACAAATGAGATCGTACAAATTTATGCAAATCAACCACCAATTCGCCAAAATGTAAAATGCTTACAAACTGTCATAAGATTGTGTTGGGCATGTCACATTAACATCCAAAAGCACATGGTTATCAGCGTGTGTGTTTTGCATTCCTCTTGTCTTTCATTATCACATCATATTACAGTTACACAAGTCAAAGGCACTCCATGATTTTGCATCATTCAGGTAAAGTGGCTGTAGCTTATTCAACGCTAAAAGCCACCTGGTGATCTGCGAACCCTCAGTAACAAAACACATGGTCATAATGGCAGAGTTCACATTAGGCCCGATATCAAGGCCCACTCAGCAGACATCTCTCCACAGTGAGGGTCTAAGGACAGCATGTGGCTGACTCCTCCAGAGCTCTGCGTTCATATTAAACAGGATTTTACATAAATCATACCTGACAGTGGAAGGCACTTGACCCACCTCCTCCTCTTTAGATGAATTGCTCTGCAGTACTGCAATGTGCCTAGAATAAGTATAATAACCAAGGACAAGCTGTATTAAAAAGCAATAAGAGATGGCTATAATTGAGATGCCATCAACAGCTACTGAATGCTGGTGGTGAAGAGGATGCAGGACGTACATCACAGTAAGATACTCTGCACTATATGTTCACCAGAAACTCTGTAGTGTCATATTCCAGCGGTGCATATTGAAACAGGAACTGACTGACAACTGTGAAACAGTTGTCAAAAAGGTTTCCTAAACACTCCCCCTGTATGCGATAGTCATGTCATAGAGTGCAACAGTTGGATTCCAGAAGTAAAATCCTATTTCTTTTCTCTGTAGTGGAATTGATTTTGAACATTAACTTACAAACCTTTAAAGACAGGCCTATTGTAAGCTACAAGGTTTTCAATAAGTGATATACGCTTTTGTTGAAGTATCAACCTGCATGATTTAAACTTGTTTTATAAATCGTTTAACAATGGAATTCCTGATAAGAACTACAATACCAGTAGTGCTGTGTTCGATACATCGATACGACGATGTATCGTCACAGAGATTTAACGATACGAGTATCTGGCCGCAGAGGAACATAACCCGGGTTGCCTGATATAAAGAGACGTAATCCCTGAAACAGAGCTTCCCACTTGCGCAATACAGAAATATCTGCTAAGTGTGTTATTTATCTTTGTCAACCTGGCAACCATGTTCACGCACTCTCTCTCCACTGGATAAACGCGCTTGCTTTCTGAAGACACCAGTAAGCTTGCAGTTTAGCGATCTCCACATCAATATTCTATTCTCAGAAAAGTGTAATTCATCAAGTATTTATTTACACGAGAGAGAGAGAGAGAGAGGCTGTGTATGTATGAATTACCACCGTTTTGCCGCATTTCTCTATTAACAGTGAATCGCACTCTCTCTCCACTGGATAAACGCGCTTGCTTTCTGAAGACACCAGTAATTCCATTAGAAACGATGATGTTACCAGTTCCTTGTTGAGAAAGATAATGTAGCTCTTGAGTGATTAAGCTATTTTATTGATAAAATTGCGGGGCAGCACTAAAACGTTTGTGTTACTGAATGTCTGTGCGCGTGCGCAACGTGATCTGTGTGAGTGACTAAAATCGTGTGTGCGTGAGATACAGTGAAGACAGCGCATTAGTTTAGAGCTCTTCTAATTTTTATTTTTATCTTTTTAAATGTAGAAATTGTGTTAATTTGTGCAATGATAACCTACCAGCAATGTAAAGAAGATTTTTTAACTATATTAGTATGAGTACATTCAAATATCAATTTATTAGAACGAGTACATTATTATTTATGGGCTTAAAAACAAGATGCAAACAATCAGAATATTGTACCTGGTGGGGAGTGCCCAATGTAAACATGAATGAATGAATGAATGAATGAATGATGCATTTATATAGTGCTTTATTGTGTATTGTTGTACACCCAAAGCGCTTTACAATCATGTGGGGGGGTCTCTCCTCAACCACCACCAGTGTGCAGCATCCACTTGGATGATGCAATGGCAGCCACAGGACAACGGCGCCAGTGCACTCACC